TCCTGACCTCGTGATCCGCCCGTCTCGGCCTCCCAAAGTGCTGGGATTACAGGCTTGAGCCACCGCGCCCGGCCTCACAGTAAAAATTTCTTTCAAAATTGGAGTCAGGCCGGGCATAGTGGCTCACACCTATAATCCCAGCACTTTGGGAGGCTGAGGCAGGAGGATTACTTGAGCCCAGGAGTTTGAGACCAACGTGGGCAACACAGCAAGACCCTGTCTGTAGGAAGAAATTAAAAATTAGCTGGCCAGGCACGGTGGCTCACGCCTGTAATCCCAGCACTTTGGGAGGCCGAGACGGGTGGATCACAAGGTCAGGAGATCGAGACCATCCTGGTTAACGCGATGAAACCCTGTTTCTACTAAAAATACAATAAAATTAGTCAGGTGTGGTGGCGGGTGTCTGTAGTCCCAGCTACTCGGGAGGCTGAGGCAGAAAAATGGTGTGAACCCGGGAGGCGGAGCTTGCAGTGAGCCGAGATTGCGCCACTGCACTCCAGCCTGGGCGACGGAGTGAGACTCCATCTCAAAAACAAACAAACAAACAAACAATTAGCCAGGTGTGGTGGAGTGCACCTATAGTCCCAGCTACCTGGGAAGCTGAGATGGAAGGAGCACTTAGCCCGGGAGATGGAGGCTGCAGTGAGCTATGATTGTGCCACTGTGCTCCAGCCGGGACAACAGAGCAAGACCCTGACTCTAAAAAAGAAAAAAAAAATTGGAGTTAATCTTCTCCAACCCAGCCTCTACTTTATCAAGTAAGTTTATTAACATTCTAAATCCTTTATTGTCGTTTAAACAATGTTCGCAGCATCTTCACCAGAAGTACTTTCCATCTCAAGAAACTGCTTTTTTTGGTGCTCATTCATAAGAAGCACTCCTTGTCTGTTCAAGTGTTATCATGAGATGGCAGGAATTTAATCCCATCTTCAGGGTCCGCTTCTAATTCTAGTTTTGTTGCTATTTCCACCACATCCGAAGTGACTTCCCACTGAAGTCTTGAACCTCTCAAAGTCATCCATAATGGTTGGAATCAACTTCTTCCAAACTCCTGTTAATGTTGACATTTTAACTTCCTTTTCTGAGTCACGAATGTCCTTCACGATGACATCTAGAATGGTGAATCCTTTCCAGGAGGTTTTCAATTGACTTTGCCCAGATCCATCAGAGGAATCACTATGTATGGCACCTATAGCCTTACAAAATGTATTTCTTAAATAATGATACTGAAAAGCAAAATCACTAAGGCCAGGTGCAGTGGCTCACGCCTGTAATATCAGCACTTTGGGAGGCCGAGGCAAGAGGATCACTTGACATCAGGAGTTCAAGACCAGCCTGGCCAACATGGTGAAACCCTGTCTTTACTAAAAATGCAAAAATTAGCTGGGCGTGGTGTTGGGCACCTGTAGTCCCAGCACTTGGGAGGCTGAAGCAGGAGAATCACTTGAACTCGGGAGGCGGAGGGTGAAGTGAGCCAAGATTGCACCACTGCACTCCAGCCTGGGTGACAAAAACAAAATTCTGTCTCAAAAACAAAAAACAAAACAAAACAAAAACAAAGAAAGAAAAGAAAAAAAGATAATACACACTTTCAATAAACTAGTTGCCCAGGCTAGTCTCAAACTCCTGGCCTCAAGCCATCTTCCTGCCTCAGCCTCCCAAGGTGCTGGGATTCGAGGCGTAAGCCACCGTGCCCGGCCCATGCTTTTATATTCTATTTTTTTGTTTGTTTGTTTGAGATGGAGTCTCAGTCTGTCGCCCAGGCTGGAGTGCAGTGGAGCGATCTTGGCTCACTGCAACCTTTGCCTCCTGGGTTCATGCCATTCTCCTGCCTCAGCCTCCCAAGTAGCTACAGGTGCCCACCACCACGCCTGGCTAATTTTTTGTAATTTTTTTTTTTTAAGTAGAGACGGGGTTTCTCCACGTTAGCCAGGGTGGTCTCAATCTCCTGACCTTGTGATCCGACCGCCTCGGCCTCCCAAAGTGCTGGGATTCGAGGCATGTGCCACCGCGCCCGGCCATGCTTTTATATTCTTTCACACACATGCATGCTTTCTCATACAGTGTCTCGGTCTCTCTCACGCACACTAATCTCACAATCTCACACTCATCCTCAGTCACACCTACACCCATACTCTGAAACGTTTATGTTCACCCCCACACATACAGCTCCCTCACGCTCACACACTCACACCCGCACACACACCCTCAGCCCCATGCCCCCAAGCCCCTTCTCCCTCTGAGCGGCAGGACATCCCTGGAGGTTAACAGCAGGGACCATGCGCGGGAGACCAGCTGGGTTCCACTCCGGGCCTTGGCCCCCCGGCCTGGTATGTGGGCATGGCAGGAACCTGGCTGCCCCGTGGGGTGAGCCCAGGGACCCCCGCCACCATCTTGGGGACAGGTCGGGGAGCAGATGTGGCCTCCGAGATCCCTGGTTGGGGTGCAGCCTAAGGTCAGCACCAAGCATTAATTAGTGTCGTCCCTGCCTGCCTGTCAGTGTCAGGCCCTTCCTGGGAAGTTTATGTCCCTCCCCTGCGCTTTGCCGGTGACAAGCTGGTCATTATCGCCTTCCAGATAATCCTCAGCTGCCGCCAACAATCAGCACCCCGTCCCCCGCTGCCCCCTGCCCAGTCTCCACTCCCACCCAGCATGCCGCATCCCAGCCACCTCCGGCTTTTTGGGACACATTGTTGGCCTAACAGCTCAGGTTATTTCACATTCACAGATAAAGGGGCAGGAGGTCTTGAAATATTCCACCCCCACCCCCCACCCCCCACTCCCGTTGTTGACACCTGTCTTCTCTCCTATGATCCCTACTCCAGGAAGCTCACCCGGATTGTCCAGGTCAGAGGCCCAGGGCTATGGCTCGAACCTGGATTCAAAGGCTCCTTGGGGTCACTCCACAGGAGAACACCTGCTGTCAGTCCTGCTCCAGGCAACACCTCCGTGGCCACAGCAGGGGCCCTGCGGGGTATGCAGGGGCCAGGGAGTGCGTGACACACGATCCAGCTCCGAGTTGTAGCCTCGCTCCGGGCCTGAGGCCAAGGAGGGTGCCGAGAGGAAGACTGAGTGTTTGCAAACAGGGCAGCTGCCAAGCAGGGGCCGGGGAGAGAGGAGGAAGGTGCGAAGGAGAGAGGGCCCAGGCAGCGCCCGCCCGCGGCGCCTGTGTGACCTTCTCACCCTGGCTACACATTGACAGGCATGTGCGCGCACACACGGATCCGATGTCCACACATTGCGAGTCACATTCACCCCACATACACACAAGTACGTCAGCACACACAAGCTCGGATGCTCATGGACACACAACAGGCACAAAGCCGTATTATCATCCACGCGCAGTGAGACACAACCCCATCCTCCCTCCTTTACATGTGTATGCACTCACACACGTGCACACACTCATGCTCACACATGCACACTTACACTGGCGTACACATACTCATGCTCACACGACACACTTGCACACGTGCGCGCACACACACGTACACATGCTCACCCATGACATTCACACTTGCACACATGCGCACACTCATACATGTGCACACATACACTCGTGGAGACACATGCACTCAGTGGCACACACATACTCATGCTCACACATGACAGTCACACTTGCACACGTGCACACATACTCACATGTACACACGCACACATGCACACACACACTCGTGGTGACACATGCACACTCACACTGGTGCAGATACTCGTGCTCACATATGACTGTCACACTTGTACACATGTGCACACTTGTACTCACACATGCACATGCATACACCACACACACTTTGCACACGTGCACACTTGCACTCATATATGCACACACACTCAGTCACACACATGCACACACTCATGCACACAGGATATTCACACTTGCACACATGCACACACTCACGCACACTCACTTGCACACACGTGCACACACGGACACATGCACACTCACACTGGTGCACACATACTCATGGTCCCATGACATTCACACTTGCACGCATGTGCACGCTCACATATGCGCACACACACTCTCCCACTCATGCACTCTCACACACTCTTACACACACACTCTCTCTCACACACACACACACTCACACTCACACTTATCCACACATGCATATAGAGTTCCTTGATGGAAGCTTTGAGGACCGTATTTTTCATTCCATTGTTAGCACACACACTTTGGTAAAGGAAAGGGATTCTTAGAAGCAAGTGGCTCACTCCCTCCTGCCCACAGCTCTGCCGCCAGGACACCCTACAGGACAGCGGGGAGGCTGCCGCCAGGACACCCTACAGGACAGCGGGGAGGCTGCCGCCAGGACACCCTACAGGACAGCGGGGAGGCTGCCGCCAGGAGACCCTAGAGGACAGCGGGGAGGCTGCCGCCAGGACACCCTAGAGGACAGCGGGGAGGCTGCCGCCAGGACACCCTAGAGGACAGCGGGGAGGCTGCCGCCAGGACACCCTAGAGGACAGCGGGGAGGCTGCCGCCAGGACACCCTAGAGGACAGCGGGGAGGCTGCCGCCAGGACACCCTAGAGGACAGCGGGGAGGCTCAGGCAGCACCATGAGCTCAGGCGGCTCATCCTCGCCCCTCCGTCTGTCTCTCTCTCTCTTCCTCTCTGTCTTTCTCTCTCTGTCTGCATCTCTCTCTCTCTCTCTCTGTGTTTGTCTCTCTCCATCTCTCTGTTTCTCTCTCTCCCCGTTTCTCTTTCTACCTCTGTATGTGTCTGTGTCTCTCTGTTTCGCTGACACTCTCTCTCTCTCTTCCTCCAACTGTTTCTTTTTCTGGGTGTCTGTTTCTCTATCTGCATCTCTCCTTCTTTATCTCTCCCCGATCTCTCTGTTTCTCTGTGTGTGTGTCTCTGTCTCTCTCCATCTCTCCCTGCTCTCTGTTTCTCTGTCTCTGTCTCTCCACCTCTGCACCTCCCGCCCCCCTCCACACGCCCTCTGATGCAAACTCCCCTTCTTGTTCCCGAGCAGACAGACTCGCAGCAGCACTGGGATCTGAGTGCCAGACGCAGTTTATTTGCAGGGCGGCTGGGGCGAGAGAAGGCAAAACACATCACAGAGAGGGTGGTGCTGCATGGGAGGGAGACCTGGCCGGAGAGAAGGAGAGAGGACGACAGGAGGACAGGGACGGAGGGGAGGCCGTGCCACACCGGACGGGTTCATTTATTTAACAGACGTTTCCTGACCCCTGCTGCAGGCCATGGCTGGGTACATGAGTCCGTCAGCAAATGGGAGGTTGCAAAGACCTCCAACGCCAGGAGCTCACAAAATAACCACAAAAAGTAAGGCATACAGTTAGAAGAAGACCCGTGTTCTAAAGAAATAATAGAGTGGGGGGATGAGGAGGCAGACAGTAAGCATTTAGGATGCACAGCTGTAACCCCAGCACTGTGGGAGGCCGAGGTGGGAGACTCACTTGAGGCCAGGAGTTTGAGACTAGCCTGAGCTAGCAGGACTCGCCCCCCACCATCTCTAAAAAAATTTTAAAAATTAGCCGAGCATGGTGGCACATGCCTGTAGTCCCAGCTACTCAGGAGGCTGAGGCAGGAGGATTGTTTGAGGCCGGGAGTTGAGACCCACCTGGGCAACATAGCAAGATCCGTCCATCTCTTAAAAAAAGTTAAAAATTAGCCTTGAGTGGTGGCACATGCCTGTAGTCTCAAGCTACTCAGGAGGCTGAGGCAGGAGGATTGTTTGAGCTGTAGATTTCCAGACGGCAGTGAGCAGAGATCGCACCACCGCACTCCAGCCTGGGAGACAGAGGGAGACCCTGTCTCAAAACAAAATGAAAACGCAGTGGTGAGGGGATGAGCCTAAAGTGTCCCCAGCAAACAGCGAGTGCAGAGGCCCTGAGGAAGGTGGCGGCAGGTACCGAGAGACGCGCGGAGGTCTGAGACCCTGGGTAAGGTGGTGGCAGGTATGGAGGGACATGCAGAGGTCTGAGGCCCCCATGGACCCAGGGAGGCATACAGCCTGCAGAGAGGAGAGAGGAGGAGGACGCAGAGGGGAGCCCCAAGCCCCATGGATGAAAACACACAGAGGAGAAACCAAAAGCCGTTGGCCTTGGAGGCCTCGATGGCGCAGCGTCCCTTTCTGCATCCCCCGGGGCCTCCTCACTGCCCAGCCTCCTCTTCCACCCCTCCCACTTCTTCAGCCTCACCCTCCCGCTGCCTCCAGGGGCGCCCCAGGTGCTCCCTGATGGAGCTCACAGCGCTCCTCCTTCGGGGGTGAGGGTCCAGCAGCCCCCACAGAAGCGCGTCGGCCGCGGGGGCCAGGCCGAACCAGGGCTGAGGACGGTCCTGGGGCTGGCCCGACGCCTGCCAGATGAGGAAGTCCTCGTAGAAGGGGTCGGCCTCGGCCAGGGGCTGGTCCCAGGGGAAGTAGCCCGTGAGCAGGCAGAAGACCAGGACGCCCAGCGCCCAGGCGTCCAGGGCGGGCTGAATGGGCAGGCCCTCGGGGAGGGGCGGGGGCGCGCAGAGCTCGGGGGCCGTGTAGGGGATGGGCGGCCCGGCCAGGCGCAGCAGGGTCCCGCGAGGCCTCGTGTGGCCGAAGTCGGTCAGCTTAAAGTGTCGACAGTCCGGGTCGCACACCAGGACGTTCTCCGGCTTCAGGTCCCGGTACACGAGGCCGCGGGCGTGGATGTACTCCAGGGCGGAGGCCAGCTGGGCGGCGCAGCGGTGCACTGCAGGCTGTGGGAGGCCCACCTGCGGGGAGAGGGGTCAGGGCCCAGTGCCCCGAGGCCACGGAAAGCAACCGAGACCGCGGGGCCCCTCCTCAGCCCAGGAAGCAGGCCCAGGACACTAAGGAGGCCGGTAAGGAAGATGGTGAATAGCGCCGTGAGGCCGTGTGACCTGTGAGGCCTGTGGGTTTAGGAGGCCTAGGGTGACCCCATAAGGCCTACTGTGACCCCATGGGGCTTGTGGGTGTAGTGGGGCCTAGGGTGACCCTGTGAGGCCTAGTGTGGCCTGTGAGGCCTGTGGGTTTAGTGGGGCCTAGTGTGACCTGTGAGGCCTGTGGGTTTAGGGGGCCTAGAGTGACCCCATAAGGCCTAGTGTGACTCTATGAGGCCTGTGGGTTTAGTGGGACCTGGGGTGACCCCATGGGGCCTGTGGGTTTAGTGGGGCCTGGGGCAACCCTGTAGGGCCTGTAGGTTAAGCGGGGCCTCGGGTGACCCTGTAGGGCCTGTAGGTTAAGCCGGGCCTCGGGTGACCCTGTAGGGCCTGTGACTTGATTGGGGTCCAGTGTGACCCGATGCTACCTGGTGGGTCTCCATAGTGTATCGTGTGGGTTCTGTGATGTCTGTGAACTCCAAAGAGGCCTAACGACTCCACGAGTCCTGTGGGCCCCGTGAGGGGCCTCCGGCGGGTAGGGGAGGCCCGGGGAGGCCCAACGCAGTGGCTGTGGTTCCTGCGGCCCAGGCTGCTCAGGACGTTCCTGTGAGGCGGGAGAGGCACTCGAAGGCGGCTTGGGGTCTGCCTACGCACCTTGGGCTGGATGAAGGCCATGAGGTCCCCGTGCAGGACGGGCTCCGTCAGGAAGCTGTAGGATTGTGCTGACTCGATGCCAATGCCGTAGGCTGTCACGATGGCTGAGTGCACGCCCAGCGAGAGCCCCACACAGAACTCGTACAGGAAGCCGCGGAGGGACGTGCGGGGTTTCGGGAGCTGCTTCAGTGCCAGGGGTGTGCCTGGGGCAGAGGGACAAGTGTGGGAGGCGTGCAGAAGCCAAGGGCCACCTGGGCCAGCTGCTCTGTTCCCCTGTGGTCCCCCCGATGGCCCCTCAGCTTGGACTCTTTCCCATAGGCCATCTGCACCTCCTCCAACTCCCACCTCCCTCCAGAGCCCACCCTAACAGCACGGCCACCACGCAAGCATCACCAGCAGTGCCAATAGTTACAGCACGCTGGGGCCCAGCTGGGGGCTCAGGCCTGAAATCCCAATGCTTTCAGAGACCGAGGCGGGAGGCTACTTTGAGGCCAGGAGTTTACGACCAGCCCGGACAACACAATGAGACCCTATCTCTAAAAAAAGTTTTAAAAAGGCCGGGCACTGTGGCTCACGCCTGTAATCCCAGCACTTTGGGAGGCTGAGGCGGGTGGATCGCTTGAGGTCAGGAGTTCGAGACCAGCCTGGTCAACATGGTGAAACCCCTTCTCTACTAGAAACACAAAAAACTAGTTGAGGCCGGGCGCGGTGGCTCACGCCTGTAATCCCAGCACTTTGGGAGCCCGAGGCGGGTGGATCACAAGGTCAGGAGATCGAGACCACGGTGAAACCCCGTCTCTACTAAAAATACAAAAAATTAGCCGGGCGCGGTTGTGGGCGCCTGTAGTCCCAGCTACTCGGGAGGCTGAGGCAGGAGAATGGCGTGAACCCGGGAGGCGGAGCTTGCAGTGAGCCGAGATCGCGCCACTGCACTCCAGCCTGGGCAACAGAGCGAGACTCCGTCTCAGGAAAAAAAAAAAAAAAACTAGTCGAATGTGGTGGCGCATGCCTGTAATCTCAGCTACTCTGCAGGCTGAGGCAGGAGAATTACTTGAACCCGGGAGGCAGAGGTTGCAGTGAGCCGAGATTGTGCCACTGCACTCCAGTCTGGGCAACAGAGTAAAAAAAAATTTTTTTTTAATTAGCTGAGCGTGGTGGCATCTCTAGAAAATTAAATAAAACAATAACAGTATGTGGTGAACTTCTACCCTGCTTTCTTACAAGCCCATAGCCATGGAGATGGAGGGATACCATGAAATTTCTCCAATGACCTCATTTGGCTTCTCATGACAGCAAACCCGTGTTTGAGGCAAAAAGGTATTTTTGAGACACCTGGGGGAAAGGTAACCTATACTGGGTAAGAAAGCCAGTTAGGAATTGTGGATTTTGTCACGAGTGGAAACGATTTCCTAGGAGCTAAACTCCCTGAAGACAGGAACTTCTGATGTTGTCCTTTTTTTTTTTTTTTTTTTTTTTTTGAGATGCAGTTTCACGCTTGTTGCCCAGGCTGGAGTGCAATGGTGCGATCTTGGCTCACTGCAACCTCTGCCTCCCGGGTCCAAGCGATTCTCCTGCCTCAGCCTCCCGAGTAGCTGGGATTACAGGCATCTGCCACCATACCCAGCTAATTTTTATATTTTTAGTAGAGATGGGATTTCACCATGTTGGTCAGGCTGGTCTCGAACTCCTGGCCTCAGGTGATGACCTGCCTCAGCCTCCTGAAGCGTTGAGATTACAGGTATGAGCCACTACACATACCCCCCCACCTTTTTTTTTTTTTTTTAAGACAGGGTTTTTCTCTGTCTTCCAGGCTGGAGGGCGGCAGCACAGTCGTGGCTCACTGCAACCTCCACCTCCTGGGCTCAGGTGAGTCTCCTGCCCAGGCCTCCCGAGTAGCTGGGACTACATTTGTGCATCACCACACAGGGCTAATTGCACACCCAGCTAATTTTTTTTTTTCCCTGACGCCAGAAATTCCTGCTAACTGGCTAAGTTTTTTTAAAAAAAAAATCTGGGCCGGGCGCGGTGGCTCAAGCCTGTAATCCCAGCACTTTGGGAGGCTGAGACGGGCGGATCACGAGGTCAGGAGATCGAGACCATCCTGGCTAACACAGTGAAACTAAAATACTCTCTACTAAAAATACAAAAAACATTAGCTGGGCGTGGTGGCAGGTGCCTGGGGTCCCAGCTACTCGGGAGGCTGAGGCAGGAGAATGGCGTGAACCCGGGAGGCGGAGCTTGCAGTGAGCTGAGATCCGGCCACTGCACTCCAGCCTGGGTGACAGAGCGAGACTCCGTCTCAAAAAAAAAAAAAAAAAAAAAAAAATCTGTAGAGACAGTCTCGCTGTGTTGCCCAGGCTGGTCTCAAACTCCTAGGCTCAAGCAATCCTCCTGCCTTGGCCTCCCAAAGTGCTGGGATTACAGGTGTGAGCTGCTGCGCCCGGCTTGGTTTCTTTAATTTCTGAGCCATCAGCTGCCAGGTGCAGGTTCAGTGAAACGCCTGTGGAGGGGCCTCCTTGGCATCACCCCCACCCATTACTGCTCATGCCTCCGGCTCTGTGAGCACCCAGGGCTGGATCTCTGAGTCTGTGCCTCTTCCCGAGGTGTGCTGTTGCGTGGCCGCATTATTGCCCTGTGTGTTATTACTGAATTGTGTCTCCCCAAAACTCATATGTTGGAGTCCTAACCCCTCATACTGCTGAATGTGGCTGTATTTGGAGAGAGGGTCTTTAAAGAGGTAAAATGAGGTCACTAGAGTGGGCGGGCCCTCATCCAGTGTGACTGGTGTCCTTATAAGAAGAGGAAATCAGGACACAGACACGCACAGAGGGACGACCATGTGAGGACACAGGGAGAAGATGGCCAAAGGCAAGCCAAGGAGAAAGGCCTCAGCAATCCACATACACCCCCAGCAACTATGGCAATCCACATACATCCCCAGCAACTAGAACAATCCACATACATCCCCAGCAACTAGAACAATCCACATACACCCCCAGCAACTAGAGCAATCCACATACACCCCCAGCAACTAGAGCAATCCACATACACCCCCAGCAACTACGGCAATCCACATACATCCCCAGCAACTAGAACAATCCACATACACCCCCAGCAACTAGAGCAATCCACATACACCCCCAGCAACTATGGCAATCCACATACACCCCCAGCAACTACAGCAGTCCACATACATCCCCAGCAACATGGCAATCCACATACACCCCCAGCAACTAGAGCAATCTACATACACCCCCAGCAACTACAGCAATCCACATACACCCCCAGCAACTACGGCAATCCACATACACCCCCAGCAACTACGGCAATCCACATACACCCCCAGCAACTATGGCAATCCACATACACCCCCAGCAACTACTGCAATCCACATACACCCCCAGCAACTAGAGCAATCCACATACACCCCCAGCAACTACTGCAATCCACATACACCCCCAGCAACTAGAGCAATCCACATACACACTCAGCAACTACTGCAATCCACATACACCCCCAGCAACTAGAGCAATCCACATACACACTCAGCAACTACTGCAATCCACATACACCCCCAGTAACTAGAGCAATCCACATACACCCCCAGCAACTATGGCAATCCACATACATCCCCAGCAACTAGAACAATCCACATACACCCCCAGCAACTAGAGCAATCCATATACACCCCCAGCAACTAGAGCAATCCACATACACCCCCAGCAACTACGGCAATCCACATACCCCAGCAACTATGGCAATCCACATACACCCCCAGCAACTAGAGCAATCTACATACACCCCCAGCAACTACAGCAATCCACATACACCCCCAGCAACTAGAACAATCCACATACACCCTCAGCAACTAGAGCAATCCACATACACCCCCAGCAACTATGGCAATCCACATACACCCCCAGCAACTACAGCAGTCCACATACATCCCCAGCAACATGGCAATCCACATACACCCCCAGCAACTAGAGCAATCTACATACACCCCCAGCAACTACAGCAATCCACATACACCCCCAGCAACTACAGCAATCCACATACATCCCCAGCAACTATGGCAATCCACATACATCCCCAGCAACTATGGCAATCCACATATACCCCCAGCAACTACGGCAATCCACATACACCCCCAGCAACCACAGCAATCCACATACACCCCCAGCAACTACAGCAATCCACATACACCCCCAGCAACTACGGCAATCCACATACACCCCCAGCAACTATGGCAATCCACATACACCCCCAGCAACTATGGCAATCCACATACACCCCCAGCAACCACGGCAATCCATATACACCCCCAGCAACTACAGCAATCCACATACACCACCAGCAACTAGAACAATCCATATACACCCCCAGCACCTAGAACAATCCACATACACTCAGAGGATCAACTATTCTTCCAAGTAGAAATCATTACCCACGTTTTTCAAAGGAGGAAACTGAGACTCAGAGAGGGCAAGGGAGTTCCTTAAAAAACACACAGTTTTTGGCGGGGCACCGTGGCTCACGCCTGTAATCCCAGCAATTTGGGAGGCTGAGGCAGGCGGATCACTGGAGGCCAGGAGTACGAGACCACCCTGGCCAATATAGGAAACCTCATCTCTACTAAAAAAGAAAAATGCACACAGAGAAATGTAGCTGGGTGTGGTAGGGCACGCTTATAATCCTGGCTGCATGGGAGGCTGAGGCAGGAGGATCACTTGATCCTGGGAGGTGGAAGTTGCCGTGAGATTGTGCCACTGCACTCCAGCCTGGGCAACAGAGCCAGACGCTGTCTCAAAACAACCAACCAACCAAAACAACAAAAAACACGGTGGAGGGCAGAGGTAAGACTTGATTCAGGCCTACCAGCCTCCCCAGCCTGGGCTACCCCAGGCCCGTGCCCCACCCCCAGCTGAACCCTGCCACCTCGGACCCCACGGCCTGGTACCTTTCTGACGATGGGTGACCAGAAGGACGCGGCCATAGCGGCCCTGGCCCAGGGGACGCACTTCCTCGTAGAGCTCGTCCACCTCGGCTCGGACCAGGGTCTGAGCGCTCAGCGCCATCATGTCCTCCAGCACCCGGGCAGCCTCCTGGCCCTGCTGGAGCTCCTCTAACGTCAGGCCGCCCAGACCCTCCTCCTCGCTGTCCTCCGAAGCCCCTGCCTCCACCGGCCCTTCCTCAGACTGTTTGCCGGGCATCTCTGTAAGGACAGAAAGGGGCACCCAGGCTCAGGTCCCAGGCCCAAGGGAGGAGGGGACTGGGGGTCTGGACTCCTGGGTCTGAGGGAGGAGGGGCTGGGAACTCATTGCACTTCTAATTGTGACTCAGTCTCCCTCTTGGTGAGAGGCGGGGAGACCAGTCTCTGGTGTGAGTTCAAACCCTAGGTCACAGACGTCCCCGCCCCCACATCCCTGCGTGCCGCGGCCGCCACCCGCCACCCTGACGTTGAAAGATGAACCAGATAACTGAGACTCCCCCACTGAGACTCCCCCATCTTGTTTCCAAAGCAAACAGACTTGGGCCCTGGGGGTGGATGAGTAGCCTCTGTCTCCTGAGAACAAACAGGTGCTCTTGGGCTCAGGGCTGGGAGGGCGGGCTGTGCAGAGGGCCTGGGACGGCTGGGTCCTGCATGGGACCAAGCACTGGGGATCAGTCCCCAAGCTCCTGACAGGCCTGGGGTCGCACTTTCACAGCCCAGCCACCTCCCTCAGACCCAGACCCGCAGCCCTTCCTCCGCCAGACCCACCTCTCTCCCGGAGCCTCATATAATTCACACAACTGGGAACCCCCAGATTCTGTTTCCCTCACCCTCCACCACTCTACAGCCTCCAGGTGCAGCCCGGCCTCCCCCGAGGGACAAAGGACTCAGGCCACCTGGCACAGTCACCCTCAGGTGCTGCCCACCTCAGGCCAGGGCACCTTGCTCACCTCCCAACCTGGGCACAGACCTCCAGACCTCACCTCCTCCAAGGCCCGCCTGACCCTTCGGCCGCCGGCTGTGGTCAGTGCCTGGCACTTAGGGCCCATGCCAGCAGACGCCTGCCCAGGACCAAGACCCCGCCCCGACTTTGGGGGTCGTAAGGCCCCGCCCCGGGCCCGCCCCTTCTGTCCCCACTGGGAGCAGAGCGACATCGTGTGATGACTCCTGGAACTGGCTGTGGTCAGGCGAATACCCTGACCCAGGAGCTCAGCCCTCCTCCCTCAGACCCGGGAGTCCAGGCCCCCAGTCCCTCCTCCCTCAGACCCAGGAGTCCAGACCCCCAGCCCCTCCTCCCTCAGACCCAGGAGTCCAGGCCCCAGCGCCTCCTCCCTCAGACCCAGGCATCCAGCCCCAGCCCCTCCTCCCTCAGACCCAGGAGTCCAGGCCCCAGCCCTCCTCCCTCAGACCCAGGAGTCCAGGCCCCCAGCCCCTCCTCCCTCAGACCCAGGAGTCCAGACCCCCAGCCCCTCCTCCCTCAGACCCAGGAGTCTAGGCCCCAGCCCCTCCTCCCTCAGACCCAGGAGTCTAGGCCCCCAGCCCTCCTCCTCAGACCCAGGAGTCCAGGCCCCACCCCTCCTCCCTCAGACCAGGTCAGCCCCCAGCCCCTCCTCCCTCAGACCCAGGAGTCCAGACCCCCAGCCCCTCCTCCCTCAGAACCAGGAGTCCAGACCCCAGTCCCTCCTCCCTCAGACCCAGGAGTCCAGGCCTTAGCTTCCCCCACCCATCTGAAGTTTTCAGGCACAGAACTGAGGCCTCCCCTACCCGCCTCAAGGCCCCTCTCTTCCCAGTTGCTCCACCACCTGCTTCCCGCCCCCCTAAGTCTGAGGTCATCCCACACTGCATCGTTCTGGAATCTCATTGTCTCATTCTTTCCCCAAACAAGACCCCAGCATCTGACCCCCTGCACACTCCTCTCCAAGCACTTGTGTCTGACCTGTCAATGGGGCGTTGATGGGGCAGCTGGGTGGGGTCAAGGCGGGGGTGGGTTCCAGCGATGATTTCATTTTCTACACGGGACCCGGACTCCTGGGCCTGAGGGAGGAAGGTCTGGAGGGCTCCTGATTCCAAAGACAGGAATAACAATAAAAATCGTTTGAAAGCACACAGTAGGAATACAGGCCAGTGAGTGCCTCCCTGCTCCAAGCACAGGGAGATTAAGCCCCACTCCGAAGTCCCCAAGCCTTGGGCCACAGTGGGACTTCAGACCCCTGTTTTTTTCTGGGACGGTTGCACCCACCCTTCCGGGTTTTTTATTTCTTTTTTTTTTTTTTCCTTTTTGAGACGGAATCTCGCTCTGTCGCCCAGGCTGGAGTGCAGTGGCGCGATCTCGGCTCACTGCAACCTCCAACTGTCTGGTTTGAGTGATTCTCTTGCCTCAGTCTCCCGAGTAGCTGGGATTACAGGCATTCGCCACCATGCCTGGCTCATTTTTTTTTTTTTTTTTTTTTTGAGACGGAGTCTCGCTCTGTCGCCCAGGCTGGAGTGCAGTGGCGCAATCTCGGCTCACTGCAAGCTCCGCCTCCCGGGTTCACGCCATTCTCCTGCCTCAGCCTCCCGAGTAGCTGGGACTACAGGCGCCCGCCCCTGCGCCCGGCTAATTTTTTCTATTTTTAGTAGAGACGGGGTTTCACCATGGTCTCAATCTCCTGACCTTGTGATCCGCCCACCTCGGCCTCCCAAAGTGCTGGGATTACAGGCGTGAGCCACCACGCCTGGCCGCCTGGCTCATTTTTGTATTTTTTAGTAGAGACGGTTTCACCATGTTGGCCAGGCTGGTCTTGATCTCCTGACCTGGTGATCCACCTGCCTCGGCCTCCCAAAATGCTGGGATTACAGATGTGAGCCACCGCACCCAGCTTGTTTTTATTTTTTTGAGACAGGGTCTTGCTCTGTTGCTCAGGCTGGAGTGCAGTGGCCCGATCTCAGTTCACTGCAATCTCCACTTCCCGGGTTCAAGTGATTCTCATGCCTCGGCGTCCTGAGTAGCTGAGACTACAGGCGCGTGCCACCACGCCTGGCTAATTTTTATATTTTTAGGAGAGATAGGGTTTTACTATGTTGGCCAGGCTGGCCTGGAACTCCTGACCTCAGGTGATCCACCCACCTCGGCCTCCCAAAGTGCTGGGATTTTAAGCCACCGCGCCCGGCCTACCCTTCAGGTTTGTACTGCCATGACTGATTTGAAGTCACTTAATTTTTTTAAATAAATTTTTTATTTTGGAATCATTTTAGGTTTATAAAGTGGTTGCCAAGATCCTGCGGAGAGTTGCCATGCACCCTCCCCCACCCTCCCCCAGTGCCGGCGTCGCAACGCAAACCAAGAGACATTTGTCAAAACTATGAGGCTCACAGTTGGGCCAACACCAGGCTGTTATTTCAGCGGCACTTCCAGGATGGATGGAGCCCAGGATGCCGCGTCGTATGTAGTGAGCTCACTTCTCAGCCGAAAAGCATACCTTCCTACATGGGAAACAGTTTCCAGTTCCTGACCCTCCGCTGGGTGCTGGGGTCTCGGATTTGGATCTAGTTCGTCCCCGTCCTGCAGGCGTGAACCTCCACAAGTCAGGCTCCGTGTCCTATCTGGGAGGTGCCGTGGAACTGCGGGACGCGGGCTGGCCTTGGTGAGGAAGGAGACCCGTCGGCACCAGACCTGGCTCTTAGGAGGCTCTCAGTGTGGGTCTGAGAAAGGTGGACGGAGCTGGGACAATCACAATCCGTGGTGCTCTGTGGGAGCAGAACTGGGAAGGATCTAAATATGGAGAAGACCAGGTCCAGCCTGGAGAGTCAGAAAGAGACACGGATTGTTCCAATACAAGTTCCCCTGGAGGCTAGAGAGGGCTGGGGGTGGGGCCGGTTTCTGGAGCCATGGGACGGGGGAAGATGCTCTCGGTGGAGGCCACACGGTGTGCCAATGTCTGCCAGCAGCTGTGCGTGTGTGTGCGCGCATGTGTGTGCATGTGTGCATGCGTGTATGTGCGTGTGTGCATGTATGTACTTGTGTGCGTGCGTGTGCATGTGTGCATGCGTGTGTGTGCATGTGTGCATGTGTGTGCTTGTGTGCGTGCGTGTGTGTGTGCGCGTGTGTGCGTGTGTGCTTGTGTGCGTGCATGTGCATGTGTGTGCATGCATGCGTGGATGCGTGTGTGTGCACGTGCATGCACATGTGTGCGTGTGTGTGTGCATGTGTGTGTGTGTTCAGATGTGTAGATTTAGGTCCAGAACAGATGAGTGACTCCCATGCCATCACCCAGAGCCCAGAGAAATGAGGGAGGCAGAGGGTGAGGTTTACACGGTGTTGGGTCCTAAAGTTCAGATCTTGGGACATGGACAGTGGGAGCCATGGAAGGTCTTAGAGGAGAGGAGTGATCCCATCAGAACTCCATGATGGCCGGGTGTTGTGGCTCACGCCTGTAATCCCAGCACTTTGGGAGGCTGAGGCGGGTGGATCACGAGGTCAGGAGATGGAGACCATCCTGGCTACCACGGTGAAACCCCGTCTCTACTAAAAATACAAAAGATTAGCCGGGCGTGGTGGCGGGTGCCCGTAGTCCCAGCTACTTGGGAGGCTGAGGCAGGAGAATGGCATGAATCTAGAAGGCCGAGCTTGCAGTGAGCCGAGATCGCGCCACTGCACTCCAGCCTGGGCGACAGAGTGAGACTCCGTCTCAAAAAAAAAAGGCATTCTGGACGGGGGGAAGAGGAAAGGTCCTTGAGGGAGGAAGGGCTGGGAGCCTGGACCCCTGCGTCTGAGAGGAGGGGCAGGAGCTGGACTCTTGGGTCCTCGGTTGGAAGAGGAATGCGCGTCCAAGCCCAGCGTGCCGTAGGGAGAGTGCAATGTGTTCCCTCTCTGTCCTCCCGGGTGCAGCTGTCTCTCCATCCAGGTGGCCCTGGGGGCTGGGGGAAGGGCCTCTGGCCCAGGCTCTGGCCACCTGTCTCTGTCACCTGGTCAGGGAGCTCCCCCATCTGTCCCCGTCCTCCCGCCACTTTTGCCGTCATCGCCGTCATCTGTCCACTCCTCCAGGCTTGAACCTCCCTCCTCCCTGTCCTCATAGGACATGCTCCCCAAAACCCCAGGGCCCTCTCTGTTCCCCTGCAACCCCCAGTTGTCCCCCAGGAAGTCCAGAACAGCCAGTGGGGGGCTCCTAGTCTCAGGATCCAGGTCCAGAAGCCCCTGGAGCAAGGCCATGGCTGGGGGTGCAAACTGGTCCCAGGGTGGTGGTGGCCGAGGTGGCTGGGGCTTGGTGGTCACCCAGCCAGCGAAGGCCTCAAACTCAGGGTCGGGGGCCAGTGCCACGTCCCACGGGAAACAGGCAGTGGCAGCACAGAAGAGAAGCACCCCCAGGCCCCAGGAGTCCACGGCTGGCCGCAGAGGCAGAGTGTCGGGCGGTAGCAGGAGGCAGAGCTCAGGTGGTGCCGTGGGCAGAGGCCCTGGTGGGGCAGGGGTCGGGCTGCCCTCCGGCCGGGTCAGACCCAGGTCTCCCAGGGCCACACGGCTGCAGACCGGGTCGAAGACCAGCACGTTGTCCGGCTTGACATCTGCATGGACCAGCCCCCGGCTGTGGAGGAAATCCAGAGCTCCTGCCAGCTGGGCCACCACCCGTTTCACCAGCAGCTCAGGAAGGCCCTGAGGTCAAGAAGACAGGAGGAAGGTCAGAGTGCCTTGGTTTTGTCTATTTTATGTTGTGCAGGCTGTTCTCAAATTCCTGGCCTCAAGTGATCCTCCTGCCTTGGCCTCGCAAAGTGCTGGGATTACAGGCCTGAGGCACCACACCAGTTGGTTCCTTCTGAATAATTCTTGAAAGAGGCTGTAGACTCCTAAGTCCTAAAGGTTTGACTCTTGGGGTTTGAGAATCTAGAACCCCAGACTAGTGGCTACCTCCAGTGTTCCCACCACTTGCTCCCAAAGACTCTCTCCATCATCCTCAACCTCAACCTGCAGCCATGTCTGCACTCCAATAGACTAACTCCCCGCTGGTCTCCCAGTTTTCCCCAGTGGAATCCCAGTTATAACCAGTAGTTCCTTTGAGCTTCTTTCAAAGATTCTCCTAACTCAAATACTCAGGCATTTTTTATATATCTTTTATAATCTGATCATCCAGATCTTCTCCAGTGAGAACTCAAATTTCATTCTTACCCCTAATCTTAGTCTTATACGAGTCTAGACTCCATCTCTAACTCAGAGTCTGTTCTAAAATCCCCTGGTTTATTTCATTATTTCATCAATTGATTATCTATCCATCTAGCCAGCCAGCTGGCCAGGCAGCAATCCATCCATGAAGCCATCCATCCTTCCAACAGTATTCAACAGTGTGTCCATCCAACATCCGTTCCACCAACCAGTCAGCAATCCAGTAAGTTATTCAATTATTTAATATACAACATCCATATATTCATCCTCCCTTGCTTCCTTTCACCCATCCATTCACTGTCCATCTATCATCCATCCACCAATCCTTCCATCCACCCACTCATCCATCCACTCATCCATCCATCCATTCACTCACCCATCCACTCATCCATCCATCCACTCACTCACCCACCAAACCTTTCATCCATCCACTCATCCATCCACCTACCCATCCATCAACCAATCCTTCCATCCACCCACCCACCCATCCACTCATCCATCTATCCACTCACCCACCAAACCTTTCATCCATCCATCCATCCACCCACCAATCCTTCCTTCCATCAATCCATCCATCCACCCACCAGTCCTTTCATCCATCCATCCATCCACCCACTCACCCATCCACTCACCCACCAATCCTTTCATCCATCCATCCATCCATCCACCCACCCACCCATCCATCCACCCACCCATCCATCTACCAAAACTTCCTTCCATCCATCTATTCACCCATCCATCCATCCACTCACCCATCCTTCCACCCTTCTAATTCTCAATGAGACTCATTCATCCACATATACCTTCCTCATCCCTTTCCTTCTTTTGTTCCTTCCATTTATCCCCAACATTATCTCAAATCCAAAATCTATTCCTGAAACTATCCCTACCTCTAATCTCCAAACTCAGGAGGCCCTAGAATCTCATGGGTTCTGTCCTGACCTGGTCTCCTTTCTAGAAGAAACCCCATTACAGCCCATCTCCAACTCAGTCTGTATATACATCCTCAACCATCTCTGTTTCCCTCTGCAACCCTATTCATGCTTTTCTCCATACTTATGATCAATCTATAATCAACTCTAAACTCAACCTACCCAACTCCACCCATGCCCATGAGTCCACTAACCCCAGAGTCAACTAAAATCCCAACCCTGTCTCCATCCCCATCCCCTTCATTGACCCTAGTCCATCCTCAATCCCACCCCCAGCTCCCTGCCCTTCCATGCTTGTGTTTGGATGATTAGATGGATTAGGGTTGAGGTCAGGCATAGAAACTCGTTGAGAATTAGAAAGGGGGAGGTCATGTGGGGGCTCAGGGTGGAGATGGGTTGGGCGGGTCCTGATTTGGGGGTCAGAGTTGGAGATAGAGACGAGGCTTGGGACAGAGTTGGACCTGGGAAAAGCGCTCCCAACCTTTGTCCCTCATGGCCTCACCCTTTCCTGCAGCATCCCGCTGAGGTCCCCACAGGGCGCGTACTCCTGGGCGAAGGCAAAATAGCGGGGGGTCTGTAGGGGTCCTGCCAGGGTCTGCAGCAGGCCTGGGTGTGCAGAGACGCAGCGGCCCACACAGAACTCCCTCAGGAAGGTGCTTCTCGGGACCAAATCCCGACGCAGGAGCTTCAGAGCCACAGCCGGACCTGCCAGGGAGATGGGTTGGGGGGACACTCAGGCAGCCTCGGTCCTGCTGTGCACAGGCCCTGAGGGAAGCCGTGTAACCTCTCTGAGCCTCACACTTCTCATGGGCAGCACGGGCTCCTCCCTCTGTGAGGTGTGGGTGGGAGGAGACCTTCTTTGAAGACCCTCCCTGCTCTGCCTCGGACTGCGGCATGGGCTTCCACAGCCGCCTCACCCTCTCCGGGCCTCAGTTTCCCCTGGCATCAAGTAAGAGGCATGATGGTGACTTGGGTTCCAACCTGAGTTGCAAACCTGTCTTGCCGTGGGACCATAGGCAGCCCCTCGCCCTCTCTGGGGTGGGGCCTGTGTTTCTCAGAAGATCCCAGAGCTCTTAACTTTCAGAGCATCCCCACCGAGAAGGGTCCCCATCAGCTCCTCCTGGGAATTCTCCCTGGTTGGGTGGCTTCCCAGAATGCTTATTATGTGGCGGTTCGGGAGGCTGCCCTTGGGTGGCCGAACTCACCCCCCTGGTGAGGCTGGGCGAGGAGCACGCGGCCGTAGGAGCCGGAGCCCAGCTTCCGGATGAGGTGGTACCGGTCCCGAAGGCTCCTCACGGGGGTCACCCTGCTGGCCGTCAGCTCCACCAGCCGTTGGAGGGCTGTGGCTGTGTCCTCCTATGGGAGAGGGGCAGGGTGAGGAAGGGGCGAGTCTGGGGTCCGCTGAGAATGGCGAGGGAGGAGGTCACGGCGCAGTCCGGGGATGGAGGGTGGGGGCAGGGGACAGGGGTCACTGTCCCCAGAGAGGAGGATGAGTCACAGTGACTCACCCGGACTCGGGCCACCTGTTTTTGTGTTCTGGCGAGGTTAGGGGTCCTTGTCACAGAGGCCCCGCCTGCCCCCATCTGTGGGAGTGGACCAGGAGCCCCCAGCCCTAAGCGGGGGTGCATCCTCAGTCCACACGGGCCCCCCGCCCACCCCAGTCTCTCTCTCCACCGTCCTCTTCCCCTGTGCATCCCGCTCTGTGTTTCTGAGTCCATTTCTCTGGGGGCCTCTGTCTCACTGTGTGTCCTTGGATCTCAGTCATCCTCTCTCCCTGGGTCTGGGTCTCTGAGATCTTTGCATTTCCCTGTTTTCTGTTTCTCTTCCTCTGTCTCCCCGTGTTGCCTCTTGCCTCTCCTTCTTTTCTCTGTGTCTTCCTCCCCTGTCTCCCGTCTCTCACCTCTGGGTCCCCATCCTCAGGGGTCTCGGAGGCCCTGCGCTC